TATTTATTTAATATATTTGGGGATGATGAGGTCAGTGTACCTGTTATATGTATTTATTTAACGTATTTGGGGATGATGGGATCACGGTCCCTGTTACATGTATTTATTTAATATGTTTGGGGATGATGAGGTCATTGGACTGATCAAAAGAAATGGTTTCGCTGAAGACAGCACAAGCCCTCGTCAGCCTTCACGGCAAAGTGTCAAACTGAACGGGGGTCTGTTTCAGAGAAGGAGAAAAGATAAGAATAAATGGTGTTAGTATTCAGGGCAAGATGCTGGAAATAGGGACAAATAAACAGGACAACAAATAAAGGATGTGAAACAAAAATGAGAACCTTCCCACAAAGATGACTTGAGGGCCACCTGGCTTCACTAGCTACGGCACCAAATAAAAAACCCTTCTCAGTAACTCAAGACTGAGAACCTTGACACCAAAAGCTAACAAAATGTGTGAGAAAGCAGTTGCAAGTCTAACACACTCCTGAACATAGGCTTCAAAAGTCACAACAAACAGAGCAGTGTTTTAAAATAACGCGACATGAACATTTTAGATTTATTTCAGGCATGCAAGGCGGTTTTCATACAAGGAAAAAAAAATCAAATAATGTAATTTGCAACATTAACTTCCTAAAGGAGGAGAATCACATAATCAAAGCAAAAGATGCAGAAACACTATTCAATAACATTCAATATTAATTTAATAAAATCAACCCATTTCTGCTAAAGGCATGTTCATAAAATGCAAAGTAGCAGAACAGCAGCTGGTAACTAAAAAGAATTATCAGTATGCAGCAAGAATGATGCTTATTTGGATGTTAATGATTTTAAATGATTGCGGTCAGCATTCTCACAGTTAAAGAGGAAGTCTTGGGAAGTGTGAAGACCTGAAGGAAAGTGCCGGAAACCCTCTAGAAGAGATTTGTAGAGCAGTCAGCTGTCTTGTTGTCTCCAAGGCCTGGCATGGTGTCCCCAGTGCCACTGCCAGGCTACCCGGAGAAGCTGAGTGCGAATAGAAAAGCTGGGAGACGCTTCCCCCGCGTATAAAAGTGCTGAAAATGTCTACAGTCTGGGTAAGATGTTTAAGTTTGGTGAACTCTGGAGAGATGCTGTGAGGGGCCTCATGGCTGAAGTGTGTCCATGAGCCGCGAGGGGAGGGCTGACAGGGTGCTGGGAGGCGGTGGGGGGTTGGACTGGGCTGGTGGTTGTTGTTTCTCCAGTCATGAAGTCCCACAGGTTTCGAGTAGTCTGTCCCCTAAATCTATTTGCCTGTTGGCTCCGCTATTTTTAGTTCCTGCTTTTGCAGAAAGCAAAGTTATTCATATTTGTGGCATGACAGCAAAAATGTCACTATTAGTGTGTTATGAGTAATAGGAAGTTCCTTAGCCTAATAATGGCTGCCTACCAATGCCCAGAAAGAGTAGCATCCAAAGAATACAGCCGGCCAAGCTTGACCTTTGAGACAGGGCCGGAAGAGGCGTCCTGTGATCGGAGCCTCTGTGTTAGGTTGACATTCAGGTCCTAGGAAACGCAGTCGGGCAGGAACAGCAGATACAGTGCCTGTGGGCTCATGTCCTCTGAGGCTCGGCTGTCTCTGGGGTCGGTGACAGAGGCTCCTGTGTCGCTTAGACACGCCCTCAGCACTCCTTCCCAGGGCAAGGCGGCCGAGGGGACCTCCCTCACCATCCCAGCCTGCACGTCCCCGCAGTCCCCTTCCTGCTCCTGCGATGACATTTAGGAGACAATACCTGGGCCTGGCTGGGGGCTTGGGGGCCAGACACGGGGCCACCAGTCCCATGCAGCACTGCGGGTGAGTCCTGGCTCCAACCCCTCCCTTGCTGTCACTGGCTCCATTATCTGTAACATATTTACTCATTTGACCACTTCCTTCCTCATCACCAACGTCCCGCCATCACTGGGGGGAGGTGGGGACAGTGAGTGAGGACCCAAACAAGGATGTGCTGAAGGCAGATGCATACCAGGCACTGTGCAAAATCAAACAAAACGGGCAGGGGGTGCAGGCAGGGGACAGGGAGGGCGGGAAGGTCGGGGACGAGCCCAGGGAGGCAGAGACCCGGCCTGGAAGCCAGGGATGCTTCTGACCCCAGCAAGGACACCCTGCCAGAGGGGACAGCCGCACCCCTGGGGAGTGTCTGAGTGTTCCCCCCGACCCCCACCCCATCCCACCACCACCCAGGAATGGACACACACTTCCCTGAGCTGAGAGTGACTTAGCTGGCTGCAAGGTGACAGTACCATTTCCTGCCGTGAGCCCATAAGCCTCAGCTGGGCGGGCTCTCCCAGGCTAAAGCCCCCGCAGCCCCTTAACGCTGATGCACTTCCTCCTGGGACCTCAAAGGCTCAGGAAAATGAGAAAATGACTCATCGCATCTGGTTTCCCTGCCCCGCCCATCCAGGCCTATGAGGCCACCTGGACACCAAGGTGGGCCTAAGCTGACCTCATGAGCCATAGCCCCGTGTCCTCGTGCCGTGGGAGCTGGAAGCGGGGACCCTCTCCCAAGGCCCCACAGCCTCGCCCCATCATATTTGGGCCCTGACTCCCCCAGGGTTTCCTGCCCACTCTGTCCCCTCCAAGCTGGTTCTGATACACCAGACAGCACCATCTCCACAAGCCTTGGCACAGGCCTCTCCCCTGGGCGGGGCGTGGGTGTGTGTGTGTGGGTGTGTGTGTGGGGGGGGTTGCAGCTGCCCTGTGGGGCTCAAGGTCCCTCGCTTTCTGCACAGAACTTCCTCGGGTTTCCCAGACCAGCCAGGGCTCCGGCGTCCCCTCAGCCGTGCCCTGGCCCCTCCTGCAAGGACTCTGGCTGAATTGTGTCACCTCCCTCACAACACAGGAGACCCAGTCCATTTCCTGCCTCAGCACCCATCAGATGTGTTTGCAGAGACATCTCTGTGGAGCGCTGACCACCCAGTAACCGCACCCCTGACCTTGACCCTGAACCCGAAATCCTTCAGCTGATACCTCCTCTTCCTCTCTGTTGATCTTCACAGCACCTCAGAAATGGGAAGGCCCTGTTCCCACGTCACAGACGAGGAAAGAGGCGGGAGGAAGCAGAGGCAGCTGCCGGTCCCCGGGCCCCAGGTGGTCGGGGATTGACGGAGCCCTTGTCACTGCCCCGAGCTCCCCTCTGGTTTTCCTCCTCTAACCTTCAGCCGGGTGGGCAGCTGTGCTCGTGCTGCACCTGCCCCCGTCCTGCCTCTCCAAGAAGGCTGCCCGATCCTCCCTGGGACTTGTTTCGGGGCAGCCTCTGCTGAAAGCCCCCATGGTCCCCTGTCTTTCCCAGCAGAGAGAAGACCTCCTGGGTTAGGAGCAAACTTTCCTGGCAGTCAGCCGGGGTGCAGTGTCGGGGCCTGGCCCGCCAGACAGCGCCTGACCACCGGGGTCCCAGGGCCTCCCAATTTCCACCCCACCTCCCACCCCTGCCTGCCCATGCAGAAGACAGAGGCTGGGCCAGTGGGAGCTGGGCAGAAATTTTATTGGAAATTCACAGATACAGGAGCTCTGAGCAGGGTCACAGCTTGGAGGAGGCTGGGGTCCAGGAGGATAGAAGGAGTCCCCAGATGCTGGCAGCCACCCATACTGGGAAGCTCCCACAGAAGCCCTTCTTGCTGGGTGTCAGGTCGGAGGGGGCCCAGGGGCCCGGGAGGGGGCACAGGGGGGCAGGGGGTGCAGCCACTGGGAGCCAGGGTGCAGCAGCCCAGGAAGAAACCACAGACCCCGGAAGCAGGTGGAGAACCAGGGCGGCGGGTTGGGGGCCGGCTGGAAGCGCGCTGCCCCCTGACTGACTGCGCGGAACCTCTGCGGCCTCGCTGCTGGTTCACAGCTTCAGGCGGGCCCAGGGCGGACGCCTGCTCTGCCCCAACCATGGCCTCCCCGTCGCGTCTGTCGGTCATGGACACGGACACGCTCGCTCGGGGCGGTGTCTCCAGGGCCGGCGGGGGGGGGCCCCGGGGCCTCAGTAGTCGGTGAGTGGGTACCGCAGGAAGATGAAGACCAGGATGATGCAGGAGGCGGCCAGGGCGGAGCTGGTGATGTTGAACAGCCGCGCCGTCTTGGCGTCCTCCACCGCGCCATTCAGGTCGTTGAGAAGCTTCTTGTCCCGAACCTGCAGCCACAAGAGGGGGTGAGCCGAGCAGCCGGCACGGCGGCCGCGGGGCTGCAGGAGCGCGGGGCGCACGCCAGGGGGCAGCCGCGAGCGCATGGGCCCCGCCTCCGGGCCGCCGCCTGCCGCTCCGCGGGGAGGGCGCGGGGCGCGGGGCTCCCGGGCCCCAACGCACCCTCAAAGAGGCTGTGGCATGAGGAACATGCGTTTGCAGAGGCAGAAAAGGGAAAAGGGAATATGGTGAGATGTTAACATCCCGGCCTCTGGGCGAAGGGCATGCAGGAAGGCTTTGTTTTTGCAATGTTTCAGTAAGCCTGAGATTATTGAAAATGAAACAGATTGTTAACAATACTGTTACTGTACACTTGAAAGTTGTTTAGAGAGTAGATCTGAAGTGTTCTTACCACCAAAAATAAAAGATAATTATGTGAGGTGGTGGCGGTGTTCGCTAACCCTATTATGGAAATCGTTTTGCAATATACAGAGGGTGCCAGGAAAATGTATACACATTTTAAGAAAGGAAAAAATTATTAAAATTATAATGCTCAATATGCACCGATAACAAAAGATGAATACAAGTCACGTTTGACTTCTGCAATTGCAAGAGGTGCTCAGAGTGGTTCCCATCAGCGTCCAGACACTTCTGATCATGGCGAACTACTGCTTGAGCATAAATAACATCTCTTAAAATGTGTACACACTTTTTTGGCACCCCCAGCATATATGTATCGAATCATTACATTGTATATCTTACACTTACACAATGTTACATGTTGATTATGTCTCAATAAAGCTGGCAAATAAATAAATACGGAGGAAGTTGGTCTCAGAAACAGTTAACACAATTGGACGCCGGGCAACACACGTATGTCCTAAATTATTGCCGCCAAATTTAAAACAAACTGGCATTCCTTGAGAATGGACGCGATGCATAGAAAGGACCAGCGGCAGTCCCTGAGGTCTCTGGGAAGGGGTCCTGAGGTGAGGGACTGGGTTAGAGCCCAGGGAGTCCTGGGGGACAGTGGACAGAAGTGGGCCTGAGGAGCATGCCACCCTCATCCAGGATAAGACTGAGGACCCCCTCTCCTTCCACAAAGTGCAAAGACGTGTGGGGGTGAGCGGCAAGCGGAAATCCAAGCCCAGGAGGAGAAGGGAGGGAGAAGGGAGGGAGATAGGAGAGAGACGAGAAAGTGCTTGCCTGAGAACGTGCATAGACGAGTGGACAAAGGCAGGGGGCCGGGTTGGAGGACGATACCCTCACCACCCAATGGGTGGACGGGAGAATGGGCGGGTACCTAATGTGGTGGGAACATGGATGGGCAGAAGCGTGGGCGTGTGCCTGGTGGACGGACTTCTGTGGGTGGATGAATGGAGGAAGGAACCAAGAGAGGGAAGGAAGAGGCTGCAGAGGGCGTGCGGCAGGGAGGGGAGGGCCGGGGGACTTGGAAGGTGGGTTGCAGGGACCGATGGATAGCAGAGGAGGACAAGAAGCAGGCACCGCGCAGTCAGGGAGGGGACGTGGGGAGGTCTGCGCCCTCCAGGGACTTTTATACTCGTGATTTTGGAGAGAACTGGCATCTTCACTAAAGTTTATCTTTCTGCATCACCCACTTATTTAGGTCTCATTTAATATCTTTATTAAAGTTTTATAATTTGCTCCAGAATAGGCGCTATTGTATCTATTGTTAGATTCAGTCTTAGTCTGTTTATTTGGGTTGTTATTATATCACAGTTACGCGTAGCGTTACATTTCTACCTGGTTTTTGCTGGTGTATAAAAATTCACCTGACTTTTGTAGGTTGATTTTGGATCTCGCTAAACGATTGTGATAATTAGCCAGGTTTTCTACGTCATAAACTGTGTCTACTGTGGGTAACAGCTCTAGTTCTTCCTTCAAATCCTTATTCTTAGTCCCAGAACCCGACTTAGCCTCGGGGCTTTTGTAGCACCTGCCCCCTTTTCCTGGAGTTCCCCACAGGCACTTGTGGCTCCTGCACGAGCTCATTCAGGCTGACACTCAAATGCTATACCATCACATCACAGAGGCCTTTCTCACCCACCCTGTAAAGGACCACCCCACAGAGGAGCACCCCCACATCTCCCTGGCGGTTTCTCCTTCAGAGCTGACATCACCACCTGACATGCATATTATGAGTTTTATTATCGACACCCCACCAGAATGTAAGCTGCTTCCGGGCAGGGGCTGTGTATTGCTTGTCGCTTATTAGGCATTGGACCATTATGTGTTGCGTGTGGAATACGTAAGCGAGCAGTGGAAGGGCGCTGGGAAGTTCCAATGAACCGACGATTAGGCGATGGAATCACTAATGTAATAAGTGGGTAATAATGGTCGTACATGTGTAAGAAGGGAGGGAAGAAAAAGGGAGGACAGGCGTGATGATCACAGTGAGGTGAGACGGATAACTAGAAAGACGGAAGTCAAATTAATGGGTGGAGACGGGTGAGCAGAGAGAAGAAAAGAGATTAAAGGAACGCACGGCAGGTGCGTGGGTAAACCAGATAGAAAAAGATGGTGGCTGGATTGGGCGGGTAGGTGGGGGGATAGCTGCAGGAATGGGGTTACAGTGTATGGGTAGAGGGGTTAATAGAAGTCTAGAAAACCGTAAGAGGTGGGTAAATGGGGAAAACGAAAGGTGAGAAGGTGGGTGTACAGATGGAGGGTGGATGGATGGATGGATGGATGGACTAATTAGTAGCGTATATTGATAAGAAAAGTGGTGAAATAAAGACTAGTGAATGGATATGGAGAGAAATGGGGCCCATGGGGTATGAAATAGACAGTTGGGGAAATGGGAAAGTTGGGAAGAATCAGTATATGGTTTAATAAATTGATGGATGGGTGATTCAAGTGAGTAAGGGAAGAAAGAAGGGCGGGAAGAGGATGTAGAAGGTGGGAGGATGGTGAGGGAGACATGCAGCCGGGAAAAGGACGGATGGTTGAATGAAGTTGATGGGTACGTGAACTGATGAATGAATGATGGGAAAAATCATCCATAGGGTAGAGGTGATGGAGGTGAGAATGGAGCAGGAGATGGGTGGAGGCAACAATGATAAAAATAATAATAGGGCCAGCCGAGTGGTGCGATGGTTGAGAACTGGCTTGGGACGCCAGAGGGCCCCGGTTCGGATCCCACACATGAGGGCCAGTGACACTGCCCTCCACAGCTAAGATGCTGAACAACAGCTCAACCTGGAGCTGGGCTGCCATGAGTCG